AATTTGACAATAATTAGTAATTATTGTCAAATTTAAGAAGAAATGTTTTTAAATTTGTTTTGAGTGTAGTTCTAGAATTGCGCCGCTCAAGGTGGCTGCATGTTGGAGCAGCTCTGTTACTTTCATTCTGAGATTTTGCTTTTGGAAACTTTTAATTCCTGTTTTTCTGGATGTAAATCACATTTTTTTTGGATGATTGTTTCCTCTGGTATCAGATGCTGTGCAGCTGGAAGGACTTTTACTGAAACTTTTTTAGTTTTGGACATTTGTTATGAAGCATAACCATGGCAACAAGGCAGTTTTCTACAACCAACAGCAGCTGATTAACATCTCAAAAAGCTCAAATAATATCTCAACTACAGCCCCAAATCTCAAATGAGTTGAAAAGGATGTTCTGTGGACGTATTCCCATCTACCTGCCAGCTGTGCTCGAGTGCCTGATCACTGAGATCCTGGAACTAGCAGGAAACATGGGTCATGACAGCGGAAGGACAGGATCGTCCCTCGACACCTACAGTTGTTTGTCCGCAGCGATGAGGAGCTTGGCAGACTGCTGGGAGAAGTGGCCATCACTCTGGGAGGAGTTCTGCCCGGCATTCGGGCAGTCCTACAGACCGAGGGAACCAAGAGGCCAGCAGAGTCTGGGTGGACGGATCGGTCGGCATCTGCAGCCAGTTTCTTAGGATCCACTGTGGGATGGAACTTTACAAGAGATCCTTTCTGTCTATAGCCATCCGCATCTATAACATCTCTTAATGAAATGAGGATAACGAGTTACAACAACAAATAATTTCCCTTTGGGATTAAGAAAGTATTTTTGAATTGAATTGAATTGAATTACCTTTTTTTGACCACTGGGTGGCAGTATAAGACTGAACCGAAGGATGGATATTGAGTGAGTGAGCATAGCGTCTCTAAGAAAAATGGGAGGGAGGCCCCTTGACGTGACATGAGTTGTCTCTTTATTTTTTCGGTTCTCAAAATGGCGGATGCTCGGTGTGGTTTGAGCTCTTTAGCATAGCATTTTTCACACAAAGCTTTTA